AAAGAAGAAGAAGAAGAGGAAGAAGAAGAAGAAGAAGAAGAAGATGAAGAGGAAGCGAACAATTCAAGGATTTTTATTTTTAAATTACCATAGATTTTCCGTTTATTGTGTTGCTTGTTCGCTTTTTTTAAAAGACAATTTTTTATTTTCTTCAAATGATAAATTGAAACTACGGTAAACGAAATATATCCCAGGTCGAGGTAGAATCAGGAGCTCCTCACTTTTTAGGCATAAATATTATGCAGTTTTTGGTGTGATCGTAGAACTACCCATCAACATAATTTAGTTCATTCGGGAGGAATCCTTCCACTGTATGTCACTGTATAGTAATATAGTGTAAAGTGCATAGAGCTTGCTGTTTAGCTGGGGGGATGCGCAATACAAATGACATTTACATGTATTATTAGGCTCTTATTTGTGTCAACCCTGCTGAGAAGGATATAACGTCCCTGCGGAAAGACAGATATTCGACAAAAAGTTTCGCCACATGAGAATTGAGCTCAGGTCTTCTGCGTGCGGCTGTGAAGCAACTAACTACTACATCATGGACTCTGGCGGTATGCATTGGCGCCCACATGAGGTAAGAAAGTTTGGTAAAAGTTTGGGGGTTTTTTTCGGCGCTTCCAACCACATAAGTCAAATGAGTGCGCGGGTCAAAAGTTGGCTGTTTTCACTTTTAGTTCATAGCATGTCTTGGCCATCTGCAACAGTTAAAATTTTCCAAGTTTACCCACTTTGATCATGTAATTTTTCCCTATCATTTTTTAAACCTACGTCCTCTTTTTTTTTTTTAAGATCAGGAAATGATAATGACAGTCATTGATTTTGTTGGAAAGTTCGAGGGGGGGGAGGGTTTTTTTGTGTGTCCCTAAGGCATATTATTTCCAGGGTCCATAATTATTTTCATAACCGCAATATTAAAAAATTCGTTCTGTTTGCTCATAGCATTTCATGTGCTGCCGGTTTTTCTTGAAAAAAAAAACAGAAACCCAACTGATAAAAGCTAGGAGAGAAAATAACTTTTGAAATTAGATAAAGTTTTCCAATATGGGGATGTTTGCTTGGTTACCATAGTTTACCTGATATTTATTTTAATAACTAATTACTACAATTTATTCTATGATGTTTGACTAACATAAACATCACCGTTGCTCTATATTTGGTCAAGGGAAATGCATTTTAGAAATCATAGCAGATCAACTTTAAGGCAAAAATGATATAGCATTAACTCACCGATGCCGTTGAAGCAGGCGAGATTCATAAAACACTGGAGAGCCTGGCACTGCGCACTCTCCTTGAAAGAGCAGAACTCTCGCCCTAGATCCCTGATGGCGGCACAGAACGTAACATCCTCCATGACACTCTGAAGGGACTGGATGGAAATCACGTCATAGACCCCGTCACAGGAGGAAGAGAGACAGGAGTCTACCAAGGAGAAGATGGTGCAACAGTTGGGTGAGTTGTACACATCGCAAGCCTGCTGGACGAAATATGATAGGTGTCCGCAATGGTTGCTTAAATAGGCTTGGATGCGCAGTAAATCCGGGCCGGCTGACGTGTTTTGGGGTGCGGACGCGACGAGGAGGAGGAGGATGAGGCAGAGGAATGGGGTCGATGAGCTAGGGTTAGAGTTCGAGGCTTGTCGGAGTTTGGAATTGTCTGGGTGCTTCATTCTCGGTGCAGGGGTTGTGGGTTTTTTTTTCCAGAGGGCAGTTTGAAGATGCAGCGGAGGATGATATCCTGACTACTGCAAGTCTGTAGTCCTTGGTGTCTGGGGACAGAGGAGGGGCTGTGCGCTGGCTCCACAAAAACCTGAGAGGAAATGCAACACAATAATTATGTCGGGCAGAATTTATAACTAATTCTTACCAAAACTGTTTGTTTGTTTGTTTGTTTTTGTATGTTTGTTTGTTTGTTTGCTTCTGTGTTTGTCTGTTTGCGTGCTTGCTTTTTGCTTGCTTGTTTGTTTGTTGGTTGGTTGGTTGGTTTGTTGGTTGGTTGGTTGGTTTGTTTAAGTAAAGAGAAGCACATCGACACCATAATGGTCATCTAGTGCTAGGAAAAAGTAAGACAGACAGAAACAACAGAGTAAAAGTAAAGAGGTAGGATCTACCAGTTGTGTGCTCCAACCACCCACCAACCAAAACTGAAAACCTTCTAGTCAGTATAAAAGCGTATAGAGTACCTTCGAAATCAGAATGTGTCTATCTTAGAGCAAAATATAGCCCTACGAAGTAAGGAAAAACAGATACATACGTAAAAACCAGACGCACTGCAGACTGAAGAACCAGCAGTTGACTACCCTTGCAATCTAGATGGAGAAAACAAAAAAAAGGAAAAGATGAAAAAGACACACTTATGTTCTCAAGAGAAACATAAATGATTACCAACTGCTCAGTCTACAATTTAGAACCCGTAAATAGCAAAATAATCAAACGTCAGTTCTAAACATACCGAATTCCCGTTGCTTTCATCGGTCTTGTGTCTCCTCCCACCCCAC